CCTATCCCGGTGCGGTATTGGTATATATTGTTTTTTGCTCAATGCACCTCTGGCCGTCTTCTTTGCTTATCCTCAGAGTTAAACAGTGGAAAAATGTCAAAACTGATTGGATAGGGCTGAATATTTAACGTGTTTGATAAAAATACTTGCGCTTTCTGAATAAATAGAAGATTTTGCTGAATAGCTGGTTTTTAAAGACATGAAAAAGAATGAAGAAGAATGCCATCAAACCATTTCAACCACCCTTTACTATTCTGTTTCAAGACTAGTTTCCGCACTTTAATTCTTGTGCTTTAAAACCAATTGTTACGAATAGGCGAAGTTTCAAAAGGAATATTTTTGAAAAATTCAATATTGCATGCTTTTTATACAAAAGCTCTGGAATTTTTAAAAAGAACATTTGCGAAGTTGATTTGCAATAATAATCGACACTTTTTTCAATGAAACAATTAAGGAACACATATCCTCAAAACTTGAAAACATAATATTCTAAAAACCATGCCCCGATCAGTTTTGACCGTCCTACTAGCATTCAAAACACAATTTGAATAATCTTTTCAACCCACTTTCATTGCTCAGATACATGCACACATCCTCATTCGGTATTTGAAAGCTTTCAGGAGGGCATTTAAAAGAATCAACATTCAAAATTAATAACCCAAAAAATGCTAGAAAGTAGTCTTTCATCAAGCTTCGTACAGTCGATTGGAAAATCTCCAAAAACTGAGAAACAATAAAATGAAATTGAATTACTCTGCTCCTTAAGCTCTTCTTATCACCAACTTTTACGACTCTTCAAGTATCCTTGATAAATTTATTGTCTTTTACAGAAAAGTGTTAAAAGTAAAAAGAAAAAGTGTAATCAAATCTTTTCAAAACGAAGAATCAATTCGAGTAAAATTGTTTTTATAAGTTTTATATAGTTTACTCTTTTCTTCAAGAGTTAGTCTTCTTGATCTGTTTGTTAGTTTAAAACAGATACTCGGCTGCCGTGGCAAATAAGTGATCTCACTTGAACTTGCCCAACCAAGAAGGAAGTTTGATAACTGAAGTTCAAATTGAAGTTTGATAACTGAACGTTTAAAAACCATAGTTTTACAGAAGTTTTCAAAGAAAACACATCAAAGCACTATAACATAGACACATGAATCTAATGAATGAAACGACACCTTCTTGGAATGAATCGACACCAAATTTCAGCCCATTTGTTGTCACCCTGTATGGTCATGGCCCAATGAATTATGAGCAATGTAACTAATATAGCTTTAACAATGCATTTTAACTTCCGACGAGGTCTCGGTATACTTAATTTAGATTCGAATACATTTGATTGTTCTTTTGCACAAACAATCTAGCCATTTCTCAACTTTTGCTAAAAAAGTATTTTGGAATCAGAAACCATTATTGTTAAATTGTGAATCCTATGACCAATTAACTGCTTCGAAAATGCGCTTCGAAACGAATAGAAACGGCAAATTTTGCTTTTATAGCGTCGTGCAAAAGTCTTGAACCAGTGCCAACTTCCACTAATTTAGCAAACAATATCATTGCTCTATAGGGTAAGTTAAAAAACAAACTGACCTTTTGGATACCCTTTTCCATCTAGTTTACAAAGTCCAAGAGTTTACCAAATTTTCAAAAAACGGAGATATGTTGAAATATTGGGTTGGGGAGAATGAGTCGGCGCCGAAAATCAAAGAAATTTCTAAAACTTATAGCAGACTTTGTCAAATGATATGATATCCGTAGAAGGGTAACTAATTCTCTACAAAATAATATTTAAAAGAGAACTCAAACAGCGCCTCAACTCAACAAAGGATCATTTTTTCACAAAATCGATAAACTGTCATCTAGAGTAAACGGTTGGGGGGATCTTCCTGAAAATTTGGTAACTTATGTAATTGAGTGTGCTCTATCTTTTTTATATAAACACCAAAGGAGGTTTATGTGGAAGAAACTGTTCAAGCAATGAGTCGGACTTTTTGTCATTTTGATTAGCTGTGTTTGGGAATCCATAAAATCCCAAAAAAGAAAAGCTTTGTGGAATCCCTCAAAAGCCATTTTGTAAAGAAATAGTGGACCATTTTGATGAAACAAAACGTGTATTTAAAGAAGGTTTTATGGGTGCAAAAAGTTTCTTTAAATTTCGGCGCCGACTCATTCTCCCCAACCCAATATGTTTTATGGCTTTAAGGTTTTGAGCCTCGTCAACTTCAACGATTCCATTGGTTTCTCCAATTTTTCCTCTCAGATTGTTCACCAGATATTCCACGCAAAGAATCCTAGTTGTTGAAGTCGACCGCGGTGATTCATCTCCAATTCTTTCGCACAATAGTTGATCGAGGTCCACTGTTGAGTCCAACCATAATGGTAGGGTTGTGAGAAACGGGATTTTGGTGCTCTCCATCCATGAGCCAACACGCAGGTCGATCGCTGTCCAGCACGACGTTTTGTCATATCCGCATTGGGGGTTCTGATTGAGCAATAGCTTCATAACGTGATGGTTGGCGCATGTGCGAGTAATAAGCAAGATGTGGCGTTGTTGAAAGAACGAGATTGCATTGGCCTCGGTAGTCGGGAAGCGAAACATGAATCCACCGCGCCCTTAGAAAATAGTGAAAAAATGATTTTCTGTGGTTTTCCTTGTTCATTTTCATGGAAGGATGCAAATTTGGCGGTTGTATAACGGAAAAGAACCCTTTTCGCGTTGATCGTGAGCCATCGGCCTCGTTAGTCGGTAAGCGAAACATGAATCCAAGTCCGACTTTGGGTAGGCCAACACTTCGACTTGCAGCCTCAGTACTTCTTCAGCAAAGAGATCCGAGATTTGAAAGAAAAATGGAGAAAGACTATTGCCAACAACGGAGAATATCTTTTGGATTGAAGCGCATGATTTTCTTTTTGTGGAGATAAATTTGTTTTTCATTAAAAGGGTATTTTCATTCCGGACAACCTAAAAGTTACTCCAGTACATCAAACGAAGTGCTATTGGGTTGGAAAGAAAGTTCTAGGAAAAGGTTGCACAGTGATTTCTCAAAAACCAACCCATAATTTCTTCCCAGATTTTTTGATAAACTTGACGATATTTCAAAAAGTTTTTAAACAAAAAAATCATAGTGGGCTTCAGGTAAAAAATAAGAGTTTTCTTCAGCTGAGGTGATTTGGTCACTTTTTGAGTGACCAGCCTTTGGACAAGTTTTTAATGGGTTAATGAATAGGCAATGGGTTCCATTCAAAACCTAAAATGAAGTACTTAAAATCAGGAAAATTTTTGATTAAGGCCAATCTGATCAAATTCTTGCACTTTTCAGACTCACCTATAACACCCGGTGCCAAGAAGGTGACACCCAAATTATTTTTTGAAAAAGCTTCTCTGTTAAAATTTTTTGCCTAAAAATAGAGATTATAGAACGTATTCCTCATTTATGCTAGCTTTACCTGATAAGGAATCTTTTTTCTGCTGCAAAAAGTGAGCTTAATTTAAACTGGAAAATAATCATTTTTGCAAAATCTCGAAAATTTTACGGGAAAGCTGCACTCATTTTTTTCGAGTAATTTCTTGGAGTCGACTTGTAAATAATAGAAGAAAATGTTCATGAATTGGTGTTTCAAGAAATTGCAGTCAAACTTTTTCCAAGAACTTTCTTTCAAATCTCACAGATACTTAAAATCACCAGAAATTACTCATTTGACTTATTTGAACTATTGAAATAACCAGGCATGAAGTCGAAAGAAGAAGCACAAAGATTTTCCTTGCTCGTTTTGTGATTTTGCTGGTTATTTGGAGACATTTTCAGGTTTTAAAGGAAGCTGAATGGAATTAATGAAATCAAATCGAGAAAACTATTTTAAAGATGTGAATGTAATCAACTATTGTTCAATTTTAAAATGTCAACTACCTGAAAAGTCGTTTAAAAATTTAGGGACTTTGTTTTAAGGCCGCATTTCTTTTTTCCTGTTTTCTTGCGTTACTTGGAACCTTTTTCATGTATTCCTTTATTCAAACGATATCAAGCTGTTAAATGCACAAAACAAACATCTCCACATCCAGCTTCACGTCCATATGCACATGGCCAACTCCACGCCTTCTCCTCAGAAATCATCCAATCACCAGATGCTCCATAGAGGTAAGTGCACGTTTTGTGATATGCTCCTTTTCGAAAAACAGTCACAATGTCGATACGTCCTTCCCATTTATAACCATAAGTCGCTGCACGCTCTGCTAGCGATTGGATCACGTCATCTTGTTCTAGCCATTGGAAAGGGTCTTGAAAGTAACGTCTAAAATAAAGTATTGTCTCAATTACGACTCTGACTAGTGATCGCTAGGCCAAGTTTTAAAGCAAAGAAATGTAGAGAAGTTTGGTACTTTGATGGTTGGGGGCCGCCTATATTTTTCATTTTTCCAATTTTCTAGGGGTAATCGAGGGCGCTGAGCACGAATTTGTCATTTTTAGCATAAGATAATAAACTAATAAACATAAATTTTTAGCATTTCAACTAACAGAACCAACATTTTGACGCGTTGAAAATTACGCTTCCAGGCGCTATTCAGGTTGGGAAGGGGGGCAGTTTTTTCTCTTCAAAACCACTTTTTCTCGGGTAGCTTTATGCGTAGATTCCGAAAAACACAACTAGAGCTTGGGAGAATGAGTTTAAGCCCAGCTTTGGGGCTCCAAAGTGCATAATTTAACCTACTAATTACGTTTCTGCTCAAATTGAAGCGAAATAAAAAAAAATTTTTGCAAATTTCGACCATTTGGTCCCCCAAATGAGTCAAAATCGCAAAAAATAGCTTGAGTACACAAATTTAAAGGTGCATTTAAAGTGCAAAAAAGTGTAGTTTTCAACGTGTCGAAATGTCGGCTTTTCCATTAAAAACCCATTCTAAAACTGTCAAACTCGTGCTCAGCGTCCTTGATTACTCGAAGAAAAGTGGAAAAATCAAAAATATAGGTGGCCCCGAGCCGAATGGAGCCGAACCCTCGACTCTCCCATCAACGAGTCGCCAAACCACCCGGCTAAAATTTATTGATCCTCAAATGTGATTTTGACACTTTTTTCGGTACCAAGCTGACTAAGTACCATTTAAATCTTAATAAAAATTTGAAAACGGAACAAATCAACAAATGGTCTTTGCTACTGTGTTCCTATTGAATACAGCTTTCGAATAAAACCAAAGATTGGCTAGTTTGAGATCATGTCCCAGCAAATCCATCACTACTTATTGGCCAGCCTAATAAATACTCGTCTGACCTGATTCCATCTTTTGCATCAGGCTTTGATCTGTCCGGAAAGCCACCACGAAACACAAATATCACATAATTCTCAAACTTCAGCACAGAGTTATGGTCTCCAAAGCCAACGAAACGCGTTCCCATGTAGTAGTTGTCCTCTGAGAAGAGCATATGTCCCGGATAAACATTCACATAGTCTGCCGGTAGAACGGCGACTTGCTTTCTGATTCTGAAAAGCACAGAAAATATTGTAAATCAAAGTTTTTTTTAGAAACCTTTCACGGTTTTTCTTCGTTATACTTCCGCAAAAATAACCCCTAATTATTTAATGATCAAAAATCTATTAATTTAATCAAAATCTACTATATATCAAATAAAAGTGTCCGTCACACTCTTCAGAGTGTGACGGAGATTCATCTCGGCTCTCCGTGAACCGATTTCGACAAACTTTTTTTTTGATCGATCGGGAATTACGAATGAATAGGCATATCCTTTTTGATCAAAAGAACTTTTTCATCAAAAACCCGTTAAAAAATCAGAAAAACCACTTAGCCACGTGCCTTTTTGCCTCGGCGGTCTATGGAGGGAAGGGGTGGCCGAGCTGGTTAGTGCCTCGTCTACAAAACCCTAAGGGGGTGTCGGGTTCGATTCCCGTCCGTTCAAAACCTTTACCTTTAAATGTTTTCAAACATGGAGTTGAAGTATGCAAATTTGAGTTGCCACGCAGTGAACGTATTGTTACAGGGGTCTCGGAGTGGCAAAATCAGCCGTCCAAATAAGTAGGTAAGGGGGAACACAGGAATCAAAAATTTAGCTTTTGTTTCAAAACTATGTTAATTGATAGGGTTTGGCTGAAAACGTACAAAAAACGTGTTTTCAGATTAAAGTTTTTTTTGAAAACACTATTGATGTTTCTTCCAAAAAAATCCATGTGGTCCCCTTTCTGGGTTTTTCTCTAAAAACTTATTTTTGAATTTTTTTGAAAACCATGTTTTTAATTTTACTATCGATGGTATATTAGGAAGTTTTAGGTCTAGATCTCTCCGTAGAGGGATCACAATCGGGGTCTAAAGTCAAGATTTCGAAAGATTTTGAGGAATCTAGATTGTTGCTTCTATTAAAGACTGTGCTTCTATTAGAATAAATAGTGTGCTTTGCATACTTTATCTCCATGCTTGAAAACACGCCAATCACCTCGGCCACGCCTTCCCAGTATAGGTGCTTTGAAGGGTTGGTCTCGATATTGCTTTTAAGGGCTAAGAAATAGATCCTAGTATTGTTACAGTCTCGGAGGCGCCGCAGAAAATGAGGGGAAGGTGTCAACTAGCTCGAAAAATCTAATTATACGTTAGTTTCAAAACACCCAGCCAGAGATTTCGGATTTAGGAAGTTGTACTTGTGGTTGACCTTGGGTATAGCCGGCCTCCTCCATCTGTTCAGTATTGCATCCTCGCCGATAATCGGAGTCAGTTTAGGTTCCAGGCTCGATGTGTTCAATCATCGCTTCCAATAGGGTCGGTCACCTAAACCAGAGAACATTCCTTGGTTTTCCGGCAAACTCCTCTAAATACTTTTCGCCTTTCGCTTCGAGAAGAAAGCCTCGTTCACTTCGTCAATTCGATTGGTCCTCCAATTTTTCCTCTCAGCTTGTTCACCAGATGTTCCACGCAAAGAATCCAGTTGTTGAAGTCGACCGCGGTGATTCATCTCCAATTCCTTCGCACAATAGTTGATCGAGGTCCACTGTTGAGTCCATCCATAATCGTAGGATTGTGAGAAACGGAATTTTGGTGCTCTCCATCCATGAGCCAACACGCAGGTCGATCGCTGTCCAGCACGACGTTTTGTCACATCCGCATTGGAGATTCTGATGGAGCAATAGCTTCATAACGTGATGGTTGGCGCATGTGCGAGTAGTAAGCAAGATGCGGCATCGTTGGAAGAACGAGATTGCATCGGCCTCGGTAGTCGGTAAGCGAAACATGATTCCATCGCGCCCTTAGAAAACAGCGAAAAAATTATTTTCTGTGGTTTTCCTTGGTCATTTTCATGGAAGGATGCAAATTTGGCAGATGTATAACGGAAATGATCGAGGGTTTATTTTGCGGATGTATAACGGAAAAGAACCATTTGCGCGTCGATCGTGAGCTAAAACTTACATATCATCCGTGTTAACTAAAAGTTTATAGATTTCCGAAGCCATTCTTTGCATTTTCTCTTGTTGTTTATACTGGGTGCTGCCCCATGTCCAATCCTTTTGATCCTCTACAGTTCCGTGATTCTCGGCCATCCAATTTCGAATCCTTTCCTCTTCTTCGGGCTTTTGCATCCAATTTTCCTAAAAGCTTCCTGTCCCTGCCGCCTCTCGTGGATTTACTAACAACTTTTTTTTCACAATACCTTTAACTAAACGTAAAACCGACCCGTGTGCCTGTGTAGCATCCAACATTGAGAACGGCTTCACCTTTGTACACCCATTTACGCTCCGATCCACAAGTGATAGTTTTTGTGTCTGACGGGAAATCCATCTTGTGGTTGATCTGAAACACATTTTTTACGATAAACTGAAAAAGAAACTCTCACTTGAACAAGCGCGAAATCAGCAGTGCCTGGATCAGCAGTGCACGTGAACGTTCGATCGATCCAAAAAAATTGACTGTAATTGAGTGATGAAAATAAAATGAGAAGGGTTATCTCTAGCGACCAAAAAGCCCGGAGCCAAGGGCCGGACCATAACTGCGGGCAAGCCTTGATCGAGTCCGAGCTCATTAAGGCTTTGACCGGACCGAGCCCGGGGAAGTTTTCACGAAAAAACGCTTACTTAGACGTCTCATCGCTCGTAAGGTTTCTCCAGTTGCGACCAGCCGAATGAATTTGAATGTTTTCACTCTGGTTCTTGCACTCTTCCATCCATTCTAAAAAATAGCCAGTAGACGAGTTGGGTAACAAAAAAAAGAACAAAGTAATCGATCGAAACAAACGGACCATTTGGTGTCACAATTTGAGCTAGCGAAGCCACAAACAAGAAAACGAATTCTTTCTTCATTTACAGCCAACTGAAAATCAAATTTTATAAAATGTGAATTGTAAAAAGAGAAAGTTTAGTATAAAACCGAGAAATTGTTGAAATAAATATAAAAAAATTTGATGAAGTCGTCAAATGAAGTTTCAAAGTCTATGTTGTGACAATGATTCGATTCAAAAAGAATTTTTTTGATAGAATCATACATTTTTCTTCTTTTTTTTTTCTAATAATATTTAGCTCAAAGTAGTTTAATGGGAAAATGAAAAGAAAAATTTTAGCGCTTTGACGACAAACAGCGGTACAAACTGTATCTGAGTGCCATATTTTTGTTTTAAAAATAAATACTTTATTCAAAAATAAGATCAAACACTTAAATTAAGCAGTTACAGTTATCGAAGTGGGTTAACACAATGCTTTGCGGTTCTAACTGATAAAGGTCCCTTCCAAATTATTAGATTGGAAAGAAAGTTCTCGGAAAATTTCCAGAATTCGACAACAAGAAGCGAAAAAGCCGAAAAGCCGTATTTTGACCTCGGATCTCCAGAGATTTGTTGAATAAGCGAAAAAAATGATGGTTTCAATTTTAATAAATAAATAGAGACTAAAATTTTGCATACTCGTAAAATTGGTATAGATATTTTATTGTTACTGATCAATGATCGTCTTGATCGATTTTATTGATATTGGTCAATGTTATTGATATCGATACCAATGTAATGATTACCGTATTATAAGTCTAATATGATATAAACTTGAAATTTTTGGTCTCTTTGAAAATCAAATCAATTGTTGAATCAAGTGCCTTGTTTCTCTTATATATTTTCTAAAGTTTTTTTTTGTTTGATTTCGATCTTTCTGAGTTGTATTTTATTACCATTTGCACATTTTAGTAAGATGAAACCTACAATATTTTGGTTGGAAAGAAAGTTCTAGGAAGGAGTTTGACTGGAATTTCATTAAAATGAAGTGATTTGGTCACTTTTTGAGTGACCAGCCTTTAGACAAGTTTTTAATTGGTTAAACAAAAGGCAATGAGTTCCATTCAAAACCTAAAATGAAGTACTTAAAATCAGGAAAATTTGTGATCAAGGCCAATTTGATCTAATGCTTTCACTTTTCAGAATCACCTATTTTAGCAAACACTCAGTGCCGAGAAGATGGCATCAAAAAATGATTTTTTGAAAAAGCTTCTCTGCAAAAAAATTTTGGCTAAAAATAGAGATTATAGATTAAAATTTTAAGGGAAAGCTGCACTCATTTTTTACGAGTAATTTCTTGGAGTCCACTTGTAAATATTAGGTTGGTGCAGGTGAAACTTCCGTCACACTTGTTTGGTTATTTTCCGGACATAATTAAAGTTTTTATTGAATATGTTTATCTATCTGAAAGAGCGTCTCTTTGCGCGTCTTTTTATATATGACTCATGCGTGTTTAATTAATTTGAAGTAATTTTTAGCTTCTAGAAAATGGTTGACCAAAAATTTAGAGTGCGGATTTGCTTATTGTATGTTTTTTAATCAAGGCAGAAAGGCTGCGGAATCTCATCGTGCTCTCTGCAAAGCATTCGGCGATGACGTGTTGTGTCCGGCGATGACGTGTTGTGTCCGAACGTCAATGCCGGACTTGGTTTCAGCGCTTCTGAGACAGTGATGAAAGTTTGGAAGACGAAAAACGCGGGAATCCGCCTCAAATTGTCGACATGGACGAGTTGAAGAACGCTATCAAATCGGATCCATGCCAAACAACTGGGGAGCTTGCAGAGCCGTTTGACTACGACCATGCAACCATCCTCCGCCATTTGCACGCAATTGGTAAGACGAATCGGTGTGGAAAATGGGTGCTATATCAGCTCAGCGACGCAAACAAGGCGGCTCGAGTTACAATCGCTGGAATTCTCGTCCGCTGGGCAAAGACCGCCGGTTTTCTCGACACTATTGTTAAGTCAGATGAAAAGTGGATATGTTACGAAAACATAACGAGAAAACGGCAGTGGTTGGAGGCCGGTGAGCCGCCAAAACCGAATATCCACGGAAAAAAGGTGATGCTTTGTATTTGGTGGAACAGTAAAAGTCTCGTGTATTTTGAGGTGCTAGATTTGGGCCAAAAAGTCACGGCGGATCTCAACAAAGCCCAATTGAGCCGCGTGGACCAGGCGTTGCGTCGTCAAACACGGCCACTACAAAATTCTTCCACCATAATGCTCGACCCCACACCGCGAAGATCACTCAGCAGAAAATCGAAGAATTGAGCTGGGAAGTTCTGCTTCATCCGCTATATAGCCCGGACTTGGCCCCATCCGACTATCACTTGGTTCGGTCGATGCAGCACCCTTTCGCATGAAAAAAATTCAAAAACCGCGACGAAGTTGAAATCTGGTTGTCCAATTTCTTCGAGTCGCACTGTTCAAGTTTTTCGAAAAGGGCATCCATTTTCTGCGTGGAAGATGGCTAATGTCTTTTGAATTAAGGTTCTGTATTATGGTTTTATAACAAACTTTGCTTATGGTTCTAACGGAAGTTTCATCCACACCAACATAATAATAGAAGAAAATGTTCTTGAATTCGTGGATTCGTTTTCTGGAAATTCCAGTCAAACTTTTTCCAAGAACTTTCTTTCCAACCTAATAGATACTTAAAACCACCAAAAATTACTCATTTGACTTATTTGAACTATTGAAATAACCAGGCATGAAGTCAAAGTAGAAGAACAAAGATTTTCATTTCTCGTTTTGTGCTTTTGCTGATTTTTTGGAGACATTTTTGAAGTTTGAAAGGAATCTAAATGGACTTAATGAAATCAAAATTGAAAAAACTATTTTAAAAATGTGAATGTAATCAACTATTGTTCAATTTTAAAATGTCAACTACATGAAAAGTCATTTTAAAATTTAGGGACTTTGTTTTAAGGCCGGATTTCTTTTTTTTCTGTTTTCTTGCGTTACCTGGAATCTTTTTCATGTATTTCTTTATTCAAACGACATCAAGCCGTTAAATGCACAACACAAACATCTCCACATCCATATACACATGGTTGACTCCACGTCTTCACCTCAGAAATCATCCAATCACCAGATGCTCCATAGAGATAAGTGCATGTTTTGTGGTTCGCTCCTTTTCGAAAAACAGTCAAAATGTCGATACGTCCTTCCCATTTTTCGCCATAAGTCGCTGCACGCTCTGCTAGCGATTGGATCCCGTCGTGTCGTTCTATCCGTTTGAGACCATCTTGAAAGTAACGACTAAAATAAGGTATTGTCTCAATTCTGACTCTGACCAGTGATTGACCGCTCCAGTTTTAAGGCAAAGCCTGTAAAGAAGTTTTTCAAACCATTGTAAACAGGGTTGAAAAAAGCCAGAGCCGATCCCGGCCTGATTCTAACGTGCTTTTGTTTTTATTTTTAAGCCAAAATTACATTTTTGATTTATAAGTATTCATAACCTTTTACTAAAAACTAGGAACTGTTCAAGAACACCTTTAATTCAATTTTCCAAATGATTTTGGGGTTGCGGCCCCACTAACAAACCAGCCCATAATGGATATTAGGCTGGCTAATAAGTAATGGTGGATTTGCCGGTAGCTAGCCTCAAACTTAACCAATCTTTGGTCTTATTCAAAAGCTGTATTCAAGAGGGACACATTAGCGAAGACCATTTGTTGATTTGTTCCGTTTTCAAATTTTATAAGGATTTAAATGGTACTCAGTCAGCTTGATACCCAAAAAAGTGTCAAAATCACATTTCAGGATCATCAAATTTTAGCTGTGGCATGGCGATTTGTTGATCCGAGGGTACGGATTTGCTGGCAGATGGTCTCAAACTTAACCAATCTGAACGAGCTCGGTCGTATTCGAAATAGGAACACAGTAGCGAAAACCATTTTTTGATTGGTTCGGTTTTCAAATTTTTATAAGCATTTAAGTGAGCTTAGTCCGACCGAAAAAAGTGTCAAAATCACAATTGGTCAATTTTTCGGTTAAAAACCTAGGATAAAAACATTTTGTTCCCGCGGCACGATTTCCCGGAGTAGACACCCAAACTTTGGATGCGTTTTTATTTTCTGGACACTTTTTTGGGTACCAAGCTGACTGAGTACCATTTAATTCTTTTGAAAATTGAAAACGGAACAAATCAACATCTGGTCTTCGCTACTGTGTTCCTCTTGAATACAGCTTGCGAATCAGACCAGAGATTGATTAAGTTTGAGAGCAGCTCCCACCAAATCCACCATTACTTATTCGCCAGCCTAATAAATCCTCGTCTGACCTGATTTCTTCTTTTGCATCAGGCTTCGATCTGTCCGGAAAGCCACCACGAAACACAAATATCACATAATTCGCAAATTTCAGCACAGAGTTATTTTCTCCAAAGCCAACGAAACCCGTTCTCATGTAGTAGTTGTCCTCTGAGAAAAAGTTTCCTTCCCAAATAGCATTCACATAGTCTGCCGGTAGAACGGCGACTTGTTTTCTGATTCTGAAAATTACAGAAAACATTGCAAGTCAAAGTTTAATTCAGAAACTTTTAGCGGTTCTTTTCCGTTGTACATCCGCAAAAATAACCCCTGATCATCAATCAATGAGGAATCCATACCGTAGCAATTTGCCGTAGCAAAAATCAGAAAAAACAGATAGCCACGTCTCTTTTTGCCTCGGCTGTCTATGGGAGGGAGGGCGTGGCCGAGGTGGTTAGTGCCTCGTCTACAAAACGACTGCCCTAAAGGGGTGTCGGGTTCGATTCCCGTCCGTTCCAAACTTTTTGCCAAACCAAATCTTTTCAAACATAGAGTTGAAGTATGCAAATTTGAGTTGCCTCGCAGCGAACAGGGGTCTCTAGGGGGCAAAACGGCCGTCCAAATAAGTAGGTAAGGGGGGAATACATGAATCAAAAATTTCGAATTTTTTCAACACTATGTTAATTGATAGGGTTTGGCTCAAAACGTACAAAAAGCCTGTTTTCAGATCAAAGTTTTTTATTTTTCAAAACTCTGTTGATGCTTCTTCCAAAAAAAAATCCATGTGGTCCCCCCTTCTGAGTTTTTCTCTAAAAAACTTTTGTCTTTTAGAAAACCATGTTTTTAATTTTACTATCGATGGTATATTCGGAAGTTTTAGGTCTAGATCGCTCCCCAGAGGGGTCACAATCGGGGTCTAAAGTCAAGATTTCGAAAGATTTTGAGGAATCTAGATTGTTGGTTCTATTGGAGGTTGTGCTTCTATTAGAATAAATACGGTGCTTTGCATACTTCAACTCCATGCTTGAAAACAAAAGAAAAACGTTTGGAACGGACGGGATTCGAACCCGACACCTGCGTAGAGGAGTCGTTTTGTAGATAGAACGCTAAAGCTAATCACCTAGGCCATGCCTTCCCAGTATAAGTGCTTTGAAGGGTTGGTCACGATATTGCTTTTAAAGGCTAAGAGATAGATCCTAGTATTGTTACAGTTTCGGAGGGGGCGCAGAAAAGGAGGGGAGGGTGTCAACTAACTCGAGAGATTTACTTATACGTTAGCTTCAAAACACCCAGCCAGAAATTTCGGATTTAGGAAGTTGTACTTGTGGTTGACCTTGGGTATAGCCGGCCTCCTCCATCTGTTCAGTATTGCATCCTCGCCGATAATCGGAGTCAGTTTAGGTTCCAGGCTCGATGTGTTCAATCATCGCTTCCAATAGGGTCGGTCACCTCAACCAGAGAACATTTCTTGGTTTCCCGCAAACTCCTCTAAATATCCACACTTGCGGCCAGATTCGGCCCACATTTCGAGAAGAAAACCTCGTTCACTTCGTCAATTCGATTGGCTTCTCCAATTTTTCCTCTCAGCTTGTTCACCAGATATTCCAGGCAAAGAATCCTAGTTGTTCAAGTCGACCGCGGTGATTCATCTCCAATTCTTTCGCACAATAGTTGATCGAGGTTCACTGTTGAGTCCATCCATAATCATAGGATTGTGAGAAACGGGATTTTGGTTCTCTCCATCCATGAGCCAACACGCAGGTCGATCGCTGTCCCGCACGACGTTTTGTCACATCCTGATGGATTCTGATTGAGCAATAGCTTCATAACGTGAAGTTGGCGCATGCGCGAGTAGTAAGCAAGATGCGTTGTTGAAAGAACGAGATTGCATCAGCTTCCATAGTCGGTAAGCGAAACATGATTCCACCGCGCCCTTAGAAAACAGCGAAAAAAGAATTTTCTGTGGTTTTCCTTGTTCGTTTTCATGGAAAGATGCAAATTTGGCAGATGAATAACGGAAATGATCGAGGGTTTATTTTTGAGGATGTATTACAAGAACCCTTTTGGCGTTGATAAGGAGCTAAGCTAAAACTTACATATTATCGGTGTTAAGCAAAAGTTTATAGATTTCCGAAGCCATTCTCTGCATTTTCTCTTGTTGTTTATACTGGGTGCTGCCCCATGTCCAATCCTTTTGATCCTCTTTAACTCCGTGATGCTCGGCCATCCAATTTTGAATTTTTTCCTCTTCTTCGGACTTTTGGATCCAATTTGCCTAAAAGCTTCCTGTGCCTGCTGCCTCTCGTGGATTTACTAACAACTTTTTTTTCGCAATACCTTCAACTGAACGTAAAAACTCACCCGTGTGCCTGTGTAGCATCCAACAGAGACAACGACTTCACCTTTGTACAACCATTTACGCTCCGATCCACAAGTGATAGTTTTTGTGTCTGACGGTGAATCCATCTGGTCGTTTATCTGAAACACATTTCTGAGGATAGACTGAAAGAGAAACTCCCACTCGAACAAGCGCGAAATGGTCTGGATCAGCAGTGCACGTGAACTTTCGATCGAGCAAAAAATATTGACTGTAAATGAAAGATGAAGACAGGATGAGAAGGGTTGTCCCTAGTGGCCTTGAGCCAAGGGCTGGCCATAGGGGGCAAGCCTTGATCGAGTCCAAAGCTCATTAAGGCTTCTACCGGGCCGAGCTGGGAAAGTTTTCACGAAAACGCTTACTTAGACGTCACATCACTCGAAAAGTTTCTCCAGTTGCCACCAGCCGAATGAATGTGAATGTTTTCACTCTGGCTGTTGCAATCTTCAATCCATTCTAAAAAAATAGTCAGTAGAAGAATTGGGCAACAAAAAAAGCACAAAGTAATCGATCGAAACAAACGAACCTTCATCGGCTGTCACAATTTGTGCCAGTGAAGCCACAAAGAAGGAAATTAATTCTTTCTTCATTGACAAGCAACTGAAAAGCAACTTTTATGAAATGTGAATTGTAAAAAGAGAAAGTTTAGTTTAAAAAAAACGAGAAGTTGTTCAAATCAATACTAAGACTTAGGAATTTCATTTGACTACTTCATTTTCTTATCGAATTTTCATGTGTTTATTTAAAGGTCTATGTTATGACAATGATTCGATTAAAGAAGCATTTTTTTGATAGAATCATACATTTTTTTCCTTTTTTCCTGATAATATTTGGCTCAAAATGATTTAATGGAAAAACAAGAAGAAAAATTTTAGCGCTTTTACGACAAAGTGCAGTACCAGTGCAGTATATGAGTAGCCAAATTTTTGTTTTTATATACTTTATTCTGAAATAAGGTGCCGAGATGAAGATTTACAATAACTCATGAAAAATAGAAAATTCCACAGAAGCACTTTGCCTCAATGTTTGGTAAAGACTAGGATGATGAACGGGAAATAAGGCAAGTTTTTAATTTTCGTATTTTCTCTAATAGTAGTGCACCCCAGCGAGCCGAGTTGTTGACGACAGTGCGTAACAAAATGATAGATCCACCATGTTTTTCGCCCCAGGAACTAGACATTTTGAATAAAAATTCAAGTTTTGACCAAAAACAAGTTCAAAATTTAGTTTTAAATCAATTTGCATCAAACTGTTATTTCATCGCTTATAGAAATGTTTCTATGCTTTTCGTCATTTTTCCCGCGTAACAAAATGATAGATCCACCTTGATTTAACAACGTTTTCGTTTATCAATTGATGTTGTTCAGTTTTCTTTTTGTACTATCCGTAACTCAAGGTCTTTTTTAGATTATGGGTAGAAAAGGACGTTTGTCTGTTGTCGAAAAAGCCAAAGTTGAAGCATTCCACGCCTCTGGACGGAGCAACCGCAAAAACGCAACAAAATTGGGCCGTTCTCATAAAGTGATCAACAATTTCCCGAAGAATCCGACTTCATATGGGAAAAAGGCATCTACCGGACGTAAAGGAAAACTAATGAAACGCGGGAAATGAGCCATCATCAAAACAACCACAAATTCTATTAAAGGATCTCGAAGAATTTCGAAATGAGTTGGGCTTAAATGTCTCGCATATGACTGTTTATCGTGTCATCAAAAACTCACCTCATTTAAAGCGAGTCAAAATGATGCCAACCCCTACTTTAAAGCCGAATCACATTGCTGCGAGGGCAAAATTTGCGGATGATCATCAGACTTGGACGAATGAATGGAAAGAGGTAATTTCCAAAATTTATATTCTTTTACAAGCAAATTTAGGTTGTATGGTCCAATGAAAAGAAACTCAATTTGGACGGTCCCGACGGCCTTTCGTACTATTGGCATGATCCCCGCACATCGCCTCAGTATTTTACAAAAAGAAACTTTGGTGGAGGTTCCGTCATGATTTGGGGTGCATTTTCTTCATATGGAAAGCTTGAGATCGAACTCATCCATTCAAAAATGAATTCTCAGGATTATCAAAACGAGTCGTCAAGAAAGAGGAACTCATCGAGGTTTTGACGTCAACTCACAAAAGATTAGGGCCCGCCGGCCAGGATCTGATGTAGAAAGAACTGCGAGAAGATTATCACGGGATCTCAATAAAAAATACTCGAGATTTTTATCAGACTTTGCCAGGAATGTGAATTAAAGAAGGGGACGCCAAAAAAGAAGCTGTTGTGAAGCCGATCATAACGAAGGAGCAATATGACCACTGCCAAGTCGACTTAATTGATCTTCAATCAGTTCCGCATGCATTTTAGTTGATGTTTTGTTTGTTATAAACGTTAATATGTTATACATGTTAAATGTTATAAATTTTATTTTACTTGTCGTGATTAGTTTGCTGATTTGCGTTTTGCATAAATAGTTTGAAATCAAAAACTCATTTGAATCGAGCCATGTTCGCAGAAGCCGATTACAAATTGTACACGGCTAGCGAAAAACTTTCATTCGTAATCGGCTAGCCGCTAACGAACGAACGAACGAAGTAGAGGAAGCTTGTAAAAATGGTTTCGACGATTTAGAGAAGGAGACAAAACTCTACAGGACCGAGGACGTGGTCACCCCCTCCAGCGATCAACGATGACGATCTTCGAGAAGCCATAGAAGATGGTCCAACCTTGTCAACTCGGGAACTTGGAACTTGGAATTCCCGTGGTCTTATACACTTTGAGGTTCTACCTTCTGGTCCAACAGTCACCTCAGATCCATATATGTACAACACCTGAAATGATTAGACCAGGCTCTCAAGAATCAAGATGTAAACACATCGACTGTGAGAGATCTGCAAGATAACGCGCGCCTACACACAGCAAAGAAGACGCAGGAAAGACACGAGCAAAGGAATGCCTCCCGCATCCGCCGTATATTCCAAATCTGGCACCCGCAGACTACCACTTATTTCGATTTATGAAGCGATTCCTGTCCGATAAACACTTCAAGGACCAAGACGAAGTCTGAATTTCGGTAGGCCAATGGTAAAGGTAATGGGTTCCATTTCAAAACCTAAAATGAAGTACTTAAAATAGGGAAAATTTGTGATTAAGGCCAATTTGATCAAACGCTTTCACTTTTCAGAATCACCTATAACACTCGGTGCCAAGAAAAAAAAGCTTCTCTGTCAAAAAAAATTTTGGCTAAAAATAGAGATTATAGATTAAAATTTTAAGGGAAAGCTGCACTCATTTTTTACGAGTAATTTCTTGGAGTCCACTTGTAAATATTAGGTTGGTGCAGGTGAAACTTCCGTCACACTTGTTTGGTTATTTTCCGGACATAATTAAAGTTTTTATTGAATATATTTGTCTATCCGGAAGAGCGTCTCTTTGCGCGTCTTTTTATATATGACTCATGCGTGTTTAATTAATTTGAAGTAATTTTTAGCTTCTAGAAAATGGTTGATCAAAAATTTAGAGTGCGGATTTGCTTATTGGAAGATTTTAAACAAGGCAGAAAGGCTGCGGAATCTCATCGTCGTTCTGTGCAAAGCATTCGGCAATGACGTGTTGTCCGAACGTCAATGCCGAACTTGGTTTCAGCGCTTCCGAGACAGTGATGAAAGTTTGGAAGACGAAAAACGCGGGAATCCGCCTCAAATTGTCGACAAGGACGAGTTGAAGAACGCTATCTAATCAGATCCATGCCAAACAACTCGGGAGCTTGCAGAGCCGTTTGACTGCGACCATGCAACCATCCTCCGCCTTTGCACGCAATTGGCAAGACAAACCGGTGTGGAAAATGGGTGCCTTCAAAAAATTCCTTCACGATAATGCTCGACCCCACACCGCGAAGATCACTCAGCAGAAAATCGAAGAATTGGGCTGGGAAGTTCTGCCTCATTCGCCATATAGCCCAGACTTGGCCCCATCCGACTACCACTTGGTTCCGTCGATGCAACACCCTTTAGCATGAAAAAAATTCAAAAATCGCGAAGAAGTTGAAAGCTGGGTGTCCAACTTCGGGTCGTAGTTGTTCAAGTTCTTCGAAAAAAGCATCCATTTTCTGCGTGGAAGATGGCAAAGAGTCCTTGATAATGATGCCGAATATCTTTTAACTTAAGGTTCTGTATTATGATTTTTATAACAAATTTTGTTTATGGTTCCAGCGGATGTTTCATCTGCACCATCCTAATAATGGAAGTAAATGTTCTTGAATTCGTGGATTCGTTTTCAAGAAATTCCAAACTCAAACTCAAACTTCCTCCGAGAACTTTCTTTCAAACCTAATAGATACTTAAAACCACCAAAAATTACTGATTTGACTTATTTGAACTATTGAAATAAGCAGGCATGAAGTCAAAAGAAGAAGCACAAAGATTTTCATTTCTCATTTTGTGATTTTGCTGGTTATTTGGTGACATTTTTGAAGTTTTAAAGTAAGGAAGGAATTAGTAAAATCAAATTGAGAAAACCATTTTAAAGATGTGAATGAAATCAACTATTGTTCAATTTTAAAATGTCAATTACATGAAAACTCATTTTAAAATTTAGGGACTTTTTTTAAGGTCGCATTACCTTTTTCTTGTTTTCTTGCGTTACTTGGAACCTTTTTCATGTATTCCTTTATTCAAACGATATCAAGCAGTTAAATGCACAACACAAACATCTCCACATCCAGCTGCACATGGCCGACTCCACGTCTTTACCTCAGAAATCATCCAATCACCAGATGCTCCATAGAGATAAGTGCATGTTTTGTGATTTGCTCCTTTTCGAAAAACAGTCACAATGTCGGCACGTCCTTTCCATTGATCACCATAAGTCGCTGCACGCTCTGCTAGCGATTGGATCCCGTCGTGACGTTCTCGCCATTGGAAAGGGTCTTGAAAGTAACTTCTAAAATAAAGTATTGTCTCAATTCTGACTCTGACTAGTGATCGCTAGGTCAAGTTTTAAACAAAGAAATGTAAAGAAGTTTTTGAAACCATTGTAAACAGGGTTGAAAAAAGCCAGGACCGACCTTGACTCTAACGTACTTTTGATTTTACTTTTAAGCCAAAATTCCATCTTTTTATTGATAAGTATTCATAACCGTTTACTAGGAACTGTTCAAGAACACCTTTAATCTAAATTTTTGAAAAAGTATTTGGGTTTGCGGCCCGACCTTGATTATAACAAGCTAGTCCATAATATTAGGCTGGCTAACAAGTAATGACGGATTTGCTGGCAGATGGTCTCAAACTTAACCCCACTTAACGAGTTTGGAGTTATTCGAAAGTTGTATTCAATAGGAACACTGTAGCGAAAACCATTTTTTGATTCGTTCGGTTTTCAAATTTTTAAAAGCATTTAAGTGAGATCGGTCAGATTGAAAAAAGTGTCAAAGTCACATTTCGTCAATTTCTCGGTTAAAAACCTCAGCTAAAAATATGTTTTTCGTGATCAGTTAAATTACCTTAGATAGCGTAAAGTTTGGTCTTTTTGCAAAAAAAAAGTTCAAAATTTGGTCGCAGTTCAGAGCCGAACCCTCGACTCTCCCATCAACAAGTCGCCAAACCACCCGGCTAAAATTTAGTGATCCCGAAATGAGTATCACTTAAATGTTTATAAAAGTTTGAAAACGGAACGAATCAACAAATGGTCTTCGCTACTCTGTTTTTCTTGAATACAGCTTTCGAATAAGACCAAAGATTGGCTTAGTTTGAGACCAGCTCCCAGCAAATCCACAATTACTTATTAGCTAGCCCAATAAATCCTCGTCTGACCTGATTCCTTCTCTTGCATCAGGCTTTGATCTGCCCGGAAGGCCACCACGAAACACAAATATCACATAATTCGCAAATTTCAGCACAGAGTTATTTTCTCCAAAGCCAACGAAACCCGTTCTCATGTAGTAGTTGTCCTCTGAGGAAGCCTGTTTTTCCTCATAAGCATTCACATAGTCTGCCGGTAGAACGGCGACTTGCTTTCTAATTCTGAAAATTAAAGAAAACATTGCAAGTCAAAGTTTAATTCAGAAACTTTTAGCGGTTCTTTTCCGTTGTACATCCGCAAAAATAACCCCTGATCATCAATCAATGAGGAATCCATGCCGTAGCAATTTGTTGCAACACCCATCCGTAGAAATCGTCCTTTCCCACTCCTTGTCGGACCATGAATTCAGCGAGGTAGTTCGATAGGAAATGACGTGCCGCGATGCTTCTTGTTTCTCGATTTTCCCCATAGACCCTCGATCGTCTGCGTGTGAGTGGCAGGGTCATCCGGATTCCGGAAGCTGTACTTGTTGTACTTGCTGACATGAGCGTGGGTAAAGCCGACCTCCTCCATCTGTTCAGTATCCTCGCCGATATGGATGAATTTCTGTGGTCTTCCTTATTCATTTTCATGGAAGGATGCTAATTTGGCGCATGTATAACGGAAATGGTCGAGGGTTTATTTTTCCGGATGTATAACGGAAAAGAACCCTTTTCGCGTTGATCGTGAGCTAAAACTTACACATTATAGTTGTTAACCAAAAGGCTTTGGATCTCCGAAGCCATTCGCCGCATTTGCGCTTGTTGTTTATACTGGATGCTGCTCCATGTCCAATCCTTCTGATCCTCTTGAGCTCCGTGATGCTCGCCCATCCAATTTCGAATTCTTTCCTCTTCCTCGGACTTTTGGATCCAATCTGCCTAAAAGCTTGCTGTCTAGAGAAAATTTTCAAATGCCTGGCCACCTTTAATACCTTTAACGAAACCTATTTGCCTTTAATTAACGGAAAAACTCGCCCGTGGGCTCGTGTAGCATCCGACAGAGACAACGACTTCACCTTTGTACAACCATTTACGCTTCGATCCACAAGTGATAGTTTTTGTCTCGGACGGTGCTTCCATCATGTTGTTTATCTGAAACACAGTTTTGAGGATAAACTGAAAAAGAAACTCCCACTCGAACAAACGAAAAATTGTCTGGATCAGCGATGCACGTGAGCCTTCGATGGACCCCAGAAGATTGACTGTAATTGAGAGATTACGATAAGATGAGAAGGGTTTTCTCTAGCGACCAAAAAGCACTGAGACAAGGGCCGGATTATGGCTCGGAGCAAGCCTTAATCGGGTCCAAGCTCCTTAAGGCTTTGACGGTCCCGGGCCCCACAAAATCTTTCACGAAACAACTCTTACTGAGACGTCACATCACTCGAAAGGTTTTTCCAGTTGCCATCAGCCGGATGAATGACAATTTTTTCACTCTTGCTGTGGCACTCTTCCATCCATTCTAAAAAAACAGTCAGTAGACGAGTCGGGTAACAGAAAAAAGAATAAAGTAATCGAAAAAAACCGACCTTCATTTGCCGTCACAAGTTGTGCCAGTGAAGCCACAAGCAAGAAAACCAATTCTTTCTTCATTTACCGCGAACTCAAAAGCAAATTTTATAAAATGTGAATTGTAAAAAGAGAAAGTTTAGTATGAAAACGAGAAGTTGTTCAACTAAATACTAAGACTTTGGAATTTCATTTGACGATTTCATTTTCTCATCAAATTTTTATGTTCTGATTTAAAGGTCTATGTTATGACAATGATTCGATTCAAAAAGCATTTTTTTGATAGAGTCATACGTTTTTTTCTTTTTTGCCGAATAATATTTGGCTCGAAATAATTTAATGGAAAAACCAGAAGAAAAATTTTAGCGCTTTTACGACAAACTGCAGTACCAGTGCAGTAGCTAAGTAACCATATTTTTGTTTTTATATATGAATACTTTATTCAGAAATAAAGTGCCGAAATGAAGATTTACTATAACTCGTGAAAAATAGAAGATACCACTATGGAATCAGAAGCACTCCATTTGCCTCAATGTTTGGTAAAGACTACGATGATGAACGGGAAATAAGGTAAGTTTTTAATGGTTGACACCATAGTTTTCAGAGCAAAAGTCAAGCGAAAGGCCTACGCATTTTCGTTCAAACTTGAAGCTGTTCGTTTTTCAAAGGAGAAATCGAAGGAAGCGGCTGATCGATGGTTTAATGTTACCCCGAAGATGGTTCAATATTCGGCAAAATCAAGGTTCAATTGATTCTTAAATGTTATTTTTTTCCTCAGTTTTTACATTTTTAAGTTTTAAAGGAATCTAAATGGAATTAATGAAATCAAATCGAGAAAACTATTTTAAAGATGTGAATGTAATCAACTATTGTTCAATTTTAAAATGTCAACCACATGAAAAGTCATTTAAAAATTTAGGGACTTTTTTAAGGCCGCATTTCTTTTTTCATGTTTTCTTGCGTTACTTGGAATCTTTTTCATGGATTCCTTTATTCAAACGATATCAAGCCGTTAAATGCACAACACAAACATCTCCACATCCAAATCCAAATACACATGGCCGACTCCAGGTCTTCACCTCAGAAATCATCCAATCACCAGATGCTCCATAGAGATAAGTGCACGTTTTGTGAAATACTCCTTTTCGAAAAACAGTCACAATGTCGACACGCCCTTCCCATTTACCACCATAAGTCGCTGCACGCTCTGCTAGCGAATGGATCCCGTTGTGTCGTTCTATCCCATTGAGACCATCTTGAAAGTAATCACTAAAATAAAGTGGTATCTCAATGCTGACTATAACTAGTGATTGACAGCTCCAGTTTTAAGGCAAAGAAATTTAAAGAAGTTTGGTACTTTGATGATTAGGGGCCGCCTATATTTTTGATTTTTCCAATTTGCTAGGGGTAATCGAGGGCGCTGAGCACGAATTTGACCCTTTTAGCATAAGATAATAAACTAATAGACATAAATTTTTAGCATTTCAACTGAAAAAACCAACATTTCGACCAGTTGAAAATTACGCTTCCAGGTCCTATTAAGGGCACTTTTTGTCTTCAAAACCACTCTCGCTCTGGTGGCTTTATGCGCAGATTCCGAAAAAAACAACGTGAGCTTGGGAAAATGAATTTAAGCCCAGTTTTGGGTCTCCAAAGTGCATAATTTAACCTACCAATTATGTTTCTGCTCAAATTGAAGCAAAATAAAAAAATTTAAGTTTCGGCCATTTGGTCCCCCACATGAGTCAAAATCTCAAAAAACATTTTTTCAACTTGTTTTCCTCTCGACCAGTCAATTTAAGTTAGAGAATGAATATTTAGTGGTTAAAAATGTTTTGGGTCTAGTTTTGATCTTGAGAAGTGCCCCAATAGTCGAGAGCTTGAGTACACGAATTTGAAGTTGCATTTAAAGTGCAAGAAAGTGTAGTTTTCAACGTATCAAAATGTCGGCTTTTCGATTGAGAACCTATTCTAAAACTATCAAATTCGTGCTCAGCGTCCTCGATTACTCGAAGAAAAGTGGAAAAATCAAAAATATAGGTGACCCCGCAACCACCAAAACACCAGAAGTTTTTCAAACCATTGTAAACAGGGTTGAAAAAAGACTGGCCCGATCCCGCCCTGATCCTAACGTGCTTTTGATTTTATTTCAGTCCAAATTAGATTTTCTATTCATAAGTATTCATAACCGTTTACTAGGAACCTTCTGGTTAGGTCTTTTTGCAAAAAAAGTTGAAAATTTGGTCACAGTTGGGAGTCGAACCCTCGACCCTCGGATCAACCAATCGTCAAGCCCTAGCTAATTTGAAAGCCCTAGCCAGTTTGAATTTGAAAACGGAACAAATCAACAAATGGTCTTCGCTACTGTGTTCCTCTTCAATGCAGCTTTTGAATAAGACCAAATTCGCTCAGATTGATTTAGTTTGAGATCATCTTCCAGCAAATCCACGATTACTTCTTAGCCAGCATAATAAATACTGGTCTGACCTGATTTCTTCTTTTGCATCAGGTTTTGATCTGTTCGCAAAGCCACCACGAAATACAAATACCACATAGTTCGCAAATTTCAGCACAGAGTTATCGCCTCCAAAGCCAACGGAACCCGTTCTCATGTAGTAGTTGTCATGTGACCGGCTCTGTGATTCCAGCCAAGCATTCACATAGTCTGCCGGTAGAACAGCGACTTGCTTCCTGATTCTGAAAATTACAGAAAACATTGCAAGTCAAAGTTTAATTCAGAAGCTTTTCGCGGTTCCTTTCCGTTATACATCCACAAAAATAACCCCTGATCATCAATCAATGAGGAATCAATGAGCAATCCATGCCGTAGCATATTGTTGCAAAATTCGTAGAAATAGTCCTTTCCCACTTCTCGTCGAACCATCAATTTAGCGAGGTAGTTCGGTAGGAAATGACGTGCCGCGATGTTTCTTGTTTCTCCATACGTGTTGTACCTATTGACACGAGCATGGGTAAAGCCGGCCTCCTCCATCTGTTCAGTATTGCATCCTCGCCAACAATGGGAGTCAATGTAGGTTCCCGGCTCGATGTGATCAATCATCGCTTCCAATAGGGTCGGTCACCTCGACCAGAAAACATTCCTTGGTTTCCCGGCAAACTCCTCTAGATATCCACAAATTTTCATGGAAGGAGGCAAATTTGGCGGATTTATAACGGAAAAGAACCCTTTTCGCGTTGATCGTGAGCTAAAACTTACATATCATCCGTGTTAACTAAAAGTTTATAGATTTCCGAAGCCATTCGCTGCATTTTCTTTTGTTGTTCATACTGGGTGCTGCTCCATGTCCAATCCTTTTGATCCTCTTGAGCTCCGTGATGCTCGCCCATCCAATTTCGAATTCTTTCCTCTTCTTCGAGCTTTTGGATCCAATTTGCCTAAAAGCTTCCTGTCCCTGCTCCCTCTCGTGGATTTACTAACAACTTTTTTTCGCAATACCTTTAACTATACGTAAAAACTCACCCGTGTGCCTGTGTAGCATCCAACATTGAGAACGACTTCACCTTTGTACACCCATTTACGCCGCGATCCACAAGTGATAGTTTTTGTGTCTGATGGAAAATCCATCTTGTGGTTGATCTGAAAAACATTTTTGAGGATAAACTGAAAAAGAAACTCCCACTCGAACCAGCGGGAAATGGTCTGGATCAGCAGTGCATGTGAATGTTCGTTGGATCCAAAAATATTTACTGTAATTGAGTGATGAAGATAAAATGAGAAGGGTTGTCTCTAGCGACCAAAAAGACTTGAGCCAAGGGCCGGACCATGGCTGCGGGCAAGCCTTGATCGAGTTCGAGCTCATGAAGGTTTTCACCGGGCCGACCGCGGGAAAGTTTTCACGAAACACGCTTACTTAGACGTCTCATCGCTCCTAAGGTTTCTCCAGTTGCCACCAGCCAAATGAATTTGAATGTTTTGACTCTGGTTCTTGCAATCTTCCATCCATTCTAAAAGACAGCTGGTAGACGAGTTGGGTAACAAAAAAAAGAACAAAGTTATCGATCGAAACAAACTCACCATCATTTGCTGTCACAATTTGTGCCAGTGAAGCCACAAGCAAGAAAACGAATTCTTCCTTCATTTACAACTAAAAAGCAAATTTTTGAAAATGTGAATTGTAAAAAGAGAAAGTTTAGTATAAAAACGAGAAATTGTTGAAATAAATATAAAAAAATTTGATGAGTAAATGAAGTCGTCAAATGAAATTTCAAAATCTATGTTGTGAGAATGATTCGATTCTAAAAGAATTTTTTTGGTAGAATCATACATTTTTCTTCTTTTTTTCTAATAATATTCAGCTCAAAATAATTTAATGGAAAAATGAGAAGAGAAGTTTTAGCGCTTTTACGACAAACTTCAGTGCAAACTGTATCTGAGTTGCCATATTTTTGCTTAAAAAATAAATACTTTATTCTAAAATAAGATCAAACACCTGAATTTTGAGCTCAGCTTTTCAATGAAGCAGTTACCTAAGACTAACACAAAGCTTTGCGGTTCTAACGTGATAAAGGTCCCTTCCAAATTATTAGGCTGGAAAGAAAGTTCTCGGAATAAATTTGGCTGGAATTTCATTAAAATCAATCCACGAATGCTTGGCGCATACTTTATAGTTACTTCAGTATATTAAGTGGTATTAGGTTGGAAAGAAAATTCTCGGAAAAATTTGTGATTAAGTCCAATTTGATCCAATGCTTTCACTTTTCAGAATCACCTATAACACTCAGTGTCAAGAAGGTGACACCCAAATTATTTTTTGAAAAAGCTTCTCTGTTAAAATCTTTTGGCTAAAAATAGAAATTATAGAGCGTTTTGCTCATTTATGCTAGCTTTACCTCATAAGGAATCGTTTTTCTGCTGCAAAAAGTGAGCTTAATTTAAACTGGAAAATAATCATTTTTGCAAAATCTCTAAAATTTTACGGAGCTGCACTCATTTTTTTCGAGTAATTTCTTGGAGTCGACTTGCAAATAATAGAACAAAATGATCATGAATTGGTGGATTCGTTTTCAAGAAATTGCAGTCAAACTTTTTCCAAGAACTTTCTTTCAAACCTAATAGATACTTAAAATCACCAGGAATTACTGATTTGACGTATTTGAACTATTGAAATAAGCAGGCATGAAGTCAAAAGAAGAAGCACAAAGATTTTCATTGCTCGTTTTAAATATTACTAGCAAAATCACATCAGTGATTTTGCTGGTTATTTGGAAACATTTTTACGTTTTAAAGGAAGCTGAATGGAATTAATGAAATAAAATTGAGAAAACTATTTTAAAGATGTGAATGTAATCAATTATTGTTCAATTTTAAAATGTCAACCACATGAAAAGTCATTTAAAAATTTAGGGACTTTTTTAAGGCCGCATTTCTTTTTTCATGTTTTCTTGCGTTACTTGGAATCTTTTTCATGTATTCCTTTATTCAAAAGATATCAAGCCGTTAAATGCACAACACAAACATCTCCACATGCAGCCGCACATGGGTAACTCCACATCTTCACCTCAGAAATCATCCAATCACCAGATGCTCCATAGAGATAAGTGCACGTTTTGTGATTTGCCCCTTTTCGAAAAACAGTCACAATGTCGATACGTCCTTGCCATTTATCACCATAAGTCGCTGCAAGCTCTGCTAGCGATTGGATCTCGTCATGTCGTTCTCGCGATTGAAAAGGGTCTTGAAAGTAACGTCTAAAATAAAGTATTGCCTCAATTCTGACTCTGACTAGTGATCGCCAGCTTAAATTTTAAAGCAAAGAAATGTAAAGAAGTTTTTCAAACCATTGTAAACAGGGTTGAAAAAAGCCAGGGCCGATCCTGACCCTGGCGTAATTTTGATTTTATTTCAGTCAAAATTACATTTTCTATTGATAAGTATTCATACTCGTTTACTAGGAACTGTTCAAGAACACCTTTAATCTAAATTTTCAAAAAAGTATTTGGGTTTGCGGCCCGACCTTGGTTATACCAAGCTAGTCCATAATATTAGGCTAACAAGTAATGACGGATTGACTGACAGATGGCCTTAAACTTAACCAAACTTAACGAGTTTGGTCTTATTCGAAAGCTGTATGTATTCAACAGGAGCACAGTAGCGAAAACCATTTTTTGATTAGTTCGGTTTTAAAATTTTGATAAGCATTTAAGTGAGCTCGGTCAGACCAAAAAAGTGTCAAAACCACATTTCGTCAATTTTTGGGTTAAAAATCTAGGCTAAAAATGTTTTTTGTGATCAGTAAAATTACCTTAGATAGCGTAAACTTTGGTCTTTTTGCAAAAAAAGTTCAAAATTTGGTCACAGCTAGGAGTCGAACCCTCGACTCTCGCTTCAACGATTCGCAAAATCGCCCAGCTAAGATTTAGTGATCCCGAAATGTGATTTTGACACTTTTTTGGGTACCAAGCTGACTAAGCGCCATTTAAATGCTTATAAAAATTTGAAAACGGAACGAATCAACAAATGGTCTTCGCTACTGAGTTTTTCTTGAATACAGCTTTCGAATAAGACCAAAGATTGGCTTAGTTTGAGACCAGCTTTCAGCAAATCCACCATTACTTATTTGCCAGCCTAATAAATCCTTGTCTGACCTGATTCCTTCTCTTGCATCAGGCTTTGATCTATCCGGAAAGCCACCACGAAATACAAATATCACATAATTCTCAAACTTCAACACAGAGTTATCGTCTCCAAAGCCAACGAAACGCGTTCCCATGTAGTAGTTGTCCTCTGAGGAAGCCTGTTTTTCCCCATAAGCATTCACATAGTCTGCCGGTAGAACGGCGACTTGCTTTCTAATTCTGAAAATCACAGAAAACATTGCAAGTCAAAATTTTTTCCAGAAACTGAGCGGTTCCTTTGCGTTACACATCCGCAAAAATAACCCCTGATCATCAATCAATGAGGAGTCCATGCCGTAGCAATTTGTTGCAATGTATAACGGATGTATAACGGCAAAGAACCCTTTTCACTTTGATCGTGAACTAAAACATACGTATCGGTGTCAACTAAAAGTTTATAGATTTCCGAGGCCATTTCCTGCATTTTCTCTTGTTGTTTATACTGGGTGCTGCCCCATGTCCAATCCTTTTGATCCACTTTAACTCCGTGATACTCGGCCATCCAACTTCGAATCCTTTCCTCTTCTTCGGGCTTTTGGGTCCAATTTGCCTAAAAGCTTGCTGTCGCAAGAAAATTTTCAAATGGCTGACCACCTTTAATACCTTTAACTAAACCTATTTGCCTTTAATTAACGGAAAAACTCGCCCGTGGACCCGTGTAGCATCCGACAGAGAGAACGACTTCACCTTTGTACAACCATTTACGCTTCGATCCACAAGTGATAGTTTTTGTCTCCGACGGTGAATCCGTCATGTTGTTTATCTGAAACACGCTTTTGAAGATAAACTGAAAAAGAAACTCCCACTCGAACAAACGCGAAATCGTCTGCATCAGCGGTGCACGTGAGCCTTCGATAGACCCCATAATATCGACTGTAATTGAGAGATGAAGACAAGATGAGAAGGGTTTTCTCTAACGACCAAAAAGCCCTGAGACAAGGGCCGGATTATGGCTCGGAGCAAGCCTTAATCGGGTCCAAGCTCATTAAGATTTTGACCGTGCCGGGCCCGGAAAATCTTTCACGAAACAACTCTTACTGAGACGTCACATCACTCGAAAAGTTGTTCCATTTGCCATCAGCCGAATGAATGACAATTTTTTCACTCTGGCTGTTGCACTCTTCAATCCATTCTAAAAAATAGTTATTAGACGAGTTGGGTAACAAAAAAAAAGAACAAAGTAATCGATCGAAACAAACGGACCTTTATTTAGTGTCACAATTTGTGCCAGTGAAGCCACAAACAAGAAAACGAATTCTTTCTTCATTTACAGCCAACTGAATAACAAATTTTTAAAAATGTGAATTGTAAAAAGAGAAACTTTAGTTTAAAGATGAGAAGTTGTTCAAATCAATACTAAGACTTTGGAATTTCTTTTGACGACTTCATTTTCTGATCAAATTTTTATGTTCTTATTTCAAGGCCTATGTTATGACAATGATTCGATTCAAGAAGAATTTGTTTGATATAATCATACGTTTTTTTTTTTGCCGAAATAAGTTAATGGAAAAACGAGAAGAAAAATTTTAGCGCTTTTACGACAAACTGTAGTACCAGTGCAGTATCTGAGTAGCCATGTTTTTGTTTTATATGTCTCAGCCGCTAGTTTTTCAATCATCATCGGCTAGCCGCAAGTGATTGAAAGTTTTTTAACGAAACATTTGAAATGCAATGCAGATTTATCTCACATGCAAATAAAAAGTTAGGTTAATCGGACCAAATATTTTAGCACCTCAAGAGGTAACTTCTGTTGCCTAATTCGAAAGATTATGTCATCTAACTGAACGTAAATTTTGATTAATATTTTTACTTTATGAATTACAAGTTTTATTCACTTTTCAACAATTTATTGCAAACATATAATAAGCAAACAAGCTCAACAACAAAAAAAATTAATTAACAACTTCCCTAAGGTACATCGTGACATCGACTGTTGCACAAAACGTTCGACCTGTGGCATACACATCGACCATTTACGTATCCAAATCCTCATCTGGTATTGATTGCAAATCGATCAGATCCACTTGGACCCGCTTTGTTGTTTGGTGATGATTGGCTTGACAACGACTCCTTTTTTCGGCGTGCCTTTCTTCAATTCACATTCAGGACAGAGCTTGACAAAAATCTCGATGATATCCTGAGATATTCCATGATATTCCCTTAGTGCTTTCCACATCATGTCCCTTCCAGCGTGTCCATGATCCTTGTGTGTTTTGATCAATAGTTGAAAGAGATTTTCCTTGATAATCACTCGTTTCATTTCTCCGGTTCTTCCAATGTTGTAGATGACGTCCAGATCGTTCTCCTTTTGCAAAGTGAAGCGCGCCAACAAAAAATTTATTTCTTCAGGAGTCCTTTTTCCTTTTGTATCTTCACTGGTTATTCGTTTGATCGTTTTCACAATTTCGGCGTGTTTTGTGACATCGGGAATCTAATTGTATTTCTTCGTAGATTGATGTTGCGTAAGGCGATCGACAAATTTACTTTCCATTTCTAAAAAAATAACTAGAAAAGTTGCAACGATACACGAGATAAATCGAAAAAAGAAACGATTGAAACAATTTGAGAACAGAAGTTACCTCCCGAGGTGTTAAAGTATTTGGTCCTATTAACCTAACTTTTTTATTAGCATGTGAGATAAATCTGCCTTGTATTCCAAATGTTTCATTTAAAAAACTTTCAATCACCATCGGTTAACCGATAGTGATTTTCTTGAATTTTGGTCTCTTTGAAAATCAAATCAATTGTTGAATCAAGTGCCTTGTTTCTCTTATATATTTTCTAAAGTTTTTTTTGTTTGATTTCGATCTTTCTGAGTTGTATTTTATTCCCATTTGCACATTTTAGTAAGATGAAACCTATTTTGGTTGGAAAGAAAGTTCTCGGAAAAAGTTTGACTCGAATTTCTTAGAAACGAATCCACGAATGCTTGGCGTATACTTTATAGTTAATTCAGCGCATTAAACAAAGTGGTATTAGGTTGGAAAGAAAGTTCTCGAAAAAAGTTTCCACGGTGATTTCTCAAAAGCCAAGCCATTGCAGATTTTTTGATAAATTTGTCCATATTTCAAAAAGTTTTTGACAAAAAAATCAGGGTGAGCTTCAGGTGAAAAATAAGAGATTTTTTCAGCTGAAGTGATTTGGTCACTTTTTGAGTGACCAGCCTTTAGACAAGTGGGTTAATGAATAGGCAATGGGTCCCATTTCAAAACCTAAAATGAAGTACTTAAAATAGGGAAAATTTGTGATTAAGGCAAATTTGATCTAATGCTTTCACTTTTCAAAATCACCTATTTTAGCAAACACTCAGTGCCGAGAAGATGACATCAAAAAATGATTTTTTGAAATACAGCTTCTTTGTTCTGTTTGGGCAAAAGTAGAGTTTATAGAGCGTATTGCTCATTTATGCTAGCTTTACCTCATAAGGGATCATTTTTCTACTACAAAAAGTGAGCCGAATTTAAGCTAGAAAATAATAATCTTTGCTAAAATCTCTAAAATTTTAAGGGACAGCTCTTTTTTACGAGTAATTTCTTGGAGGCGACTTATAAATACCGTATTCTCCCTAATAGTAGTGCACTCTTTAATAGTATTGCGGTCCGAGAGGGGGTTGAAAAAATAGTAGTGCAGACTCGAAAATCTGGATTTATAGTGCTTCTTTTTCATCTAAACCTTTTTGACTTTATGTTTATGTGACATTCTAAAGCTATTCAAGCAAGCAAAAGTGAGGCTTTTTTCATTCATTTATTAACTATTCTTCACATGAGAAAGTTAGCAAAAAAATCTAAAATGGCTGTGCAAAGTGCAAAAACATCTTTTTGTTATTTCCACACATTGTTTTAGTGGTCCACACATTTTCACACATTAACTCAAATTCGCTTACGAAGTTCGCGCAAAGCTATAGTCACTTTTTGCTCTTATATACCTGTATAAAGTTTGAGAATTGATTTACCTTTTGCGGCGCTAAGCTTTATTGTTATCAAAACTCAATCCTAGAAAATAATCCATCATGTTCGCTTTTAATATTATATAATTTTTGTTGGTCACCTTTACTATTGTCTAAATAATCTTTTTCTTTAAGTATGGATCTCGATGGGAACTCGCTTGATGAATTCGAAAATTTTCGAGCTCGTCGTGAACACGAGGAACATGTGGAATTCTTCAAGAGGATTGACAATCAAGTGGCCGAGCAAAATGCCGGCTACAACATGACCAACGATGTTGCCGAGGAGTCTTCGTGTGACTCGGATGCACCATCCGCGAAAATTCGCGATGCTTTGCCATTCAAACAAAGCCGAAAGCGATTGATTTTGCTGAAAAAATAAAGGAAAAGTTGGCTGCAGCGCGGAAATTTGGAGTCAGTCGTCAAAATATTCCAAAAATGGTGTGAGCAAAAGGAAGAATTCGAGGAACAAAACAGAGATAACGGAAAAGGAAAAAAGCGAATCAAAGGGGGTGGACGAAAGCTCAAGGATGTCGATTTTGATAAGAATCTTGTTTCTTTCTTGAACTATTGAAATAACCAGGCATGAAGTCAAAAGAAGCACAAAGATTTTCATTGCTCGTTTTGTGATTTTGCTGGTTATTTGGAGACATTTTTCGGTTTTAAAGGAATCTAAATGGAATTAATGAAATCAAATTGAGAAAACTATTTTAAAGCTGTGAATGAAATCAACCATTGTTCAATTTTAAAATGTCAACTACATGAAAAGTCATTTTAAAATTTAGGGACTTTGTTTTAAGGCCGCATTTCTTTTTTCCCTGTTTTCTTGCGTTACTTGGAATCTTTTTCATGTATTCCTTTATTCAAACGACATCAAGCAGTTAAATGCGCAACACAAACATCTCCACATCCAGCTGCACATGGCCGACTCCACGTCTTCACCTCAGAAATCATCCAATCACCAGATGCTCCATAGAGATAAGTGCAGGTTTTGTGATTAGCTCCTTTTCGAAAAACAGTTAAAATGTCGATACGTCCTTCCCATTCATCACCATAAGTCGCTGCACGCTCTGCTAGCAATTGGATCCCGTTGTGTCGTTCTATCCCATTGAGACCATCTTGAAAGTAATCACTAAAATAAAGTGGTATCTCAATGCTGACTATAACTAGTGATTGACAGCTCCAGTTTTAAGGCAAAGAAATTTAAAGAAGTTTGGTACTTTGATGATTAGGGGCCGCCTATATTTTTGATTTTTCCAATTTTCTAGGGGTAATCGAGGGCGCTGAGCACGAATTTGACCCTTTTAGCATAAGATAATAAACTAATCAACATAAATTTTTAGCATTTCAACTAAAAGAACCAACATTTCGACACGTTTAAAATTACGCTTCTAAGCGCTATTCAGGTTGGGAAGGGGGGCACATTTTTTCGTCAAAACCACTTCTTCTCGGGTAGCTTTATGCGTAGATTCCGAAAAACACAACTAGAGCTTGGGAGAATGCGTTTGAGTCCAGTTTTGGGGCTCCAAAGTGCATAATATAACCTACTGATTACGTTTCTGCTCAAATTGAAGCGAAATAAAAAAAGTTTTGCAAATTTCGACCATTTGGTCCCCCACATGAGTCAAAATCTCAAAAAAATAATTTTTCAATTTGCTTTTCCTCTCTACCAGTCAATTTAGTTAGAGAATGAATATTTAGTGGTTAAAAATTTTTTGGGTCTAGTTTTGACCTTGAGAAGTGCCCCAATAGTCGATAGCTGGAGTACACGAATTTAAAGTTGCATTTAAAGTGCAAGAAAGTGTAGTTTTCAGCGTGTCGAAATGTCGGCTTTTCGATTGAGAACCTATTCTAAAACTGTCAAATTCGTGCTCAGCGCCGTCGATTACCCCAAGAAAAGTGAAAAAATCAAAAATATAGGTGGCCCAGCAACCACCAAAACACCATTGTGGGTTGTGCCGAAAAAAGTCAGGCCCGATCCCGGCCTGATCCTAACATGCCTTTGATTTTATTTTTACCTCAAAATTACATTTTTTTATTGTCTCAATTTTGACTCTGACCAGTGATCGCCAGCTTAGGTTTTAAAGCAAAGAAATGTAAAGAAGTTTTTCAAAACATTGTAAACAGGGTTGAAAAAAGTCAGGGCCTTTTGATTTTGAGTCAGGGCCTAACGTACTTTTGATTTTTCTTTTAAGCCAAAATTACATTTTTTTATTTATAAGTATTCATAACCATTTACCAGGAACTCTTTAAGAACAACCGCGAAGAGCGAAAACCATTCTTTGAGTCGTTCGGTCTTAATATCTTTAAAAGCATTTAAGTGCGCTCGGTCAGATCGAAAAAAGTGTCAAAATCACATTTCGACGATTTTTTGGTTAAAAATCTAGGCTAAAAATATGTTTGTTCACGGGGTACGATTTTCACAATAGACACCCCAACTTTGGATGCGTTTTTCTTGTGTGTTTTTGAATATGGGCAAAACTGAATACAGCATCAGATTCACCGTGTCCGATTGGCGTTTGCATTTCAACGGCGTGAATATCTGCTACGACGATTTTGTGGCATCTCCTTGCTAGGTCTTTTTGGAAAAAAAAAAAATTGAAAATTTCGTCACAGTTGGCAGTCGACCCCTCGACCCTCGGATCAACGAATCGCCAGGCCCCAGCTAAAATTTAATGGTCCTGAAATGTGATTTTGAGACTTTTTTGGGTACCAAGCGGACTGAGTACCATTTAAATGCTTATAAAAATTTGAAAACGGAACAAATCGACAAATGTTCTTCGCTACTGTGTTCCTCTCTTGAATACAGCTTTTGAATAAGACCAAAGATTGGCTTAGTTTGAGACCAGCTTTCAGCAAATCCACCATTACTTATTAGCTAGCCCAATAAATCCTCGTCTGACCTGATTCCTTCTCTTGCATCAGGCTTTGATCTCTCCGGAAAGCCACCACGAAACACAAATATCACATAATTGTCAAATTCCAGCACAGAGTTATCGTCCCCAAAGCCAACGAAGCGCGTTCTCATGTAGTAGTTGTCCTCTGAGAAGGGCAGATTCTCCGGATAAACATTCACATAGTCTGCCGGTAGAACGGCGACTTGCTTTCTGATTCTGAAAAGCCCAGAAAATATTGTAAATCAAAGTTTTTTTAGAAACTTTTTGCGGTTCCTTTCCGTTATACATCCACAAAAACAACCCCTGATCATCAATCAATGAGCAATCCATGCCGTAGCAGTTTGTTGCAACACCGTTTCGTAGAAATAGTCCTTTCACACTTCTCGTCGAATCATCAATTTAGCGAGGTAGTTCGGTAGGAAATGTCGTGCCGCGATGCTTCTTGTTGCTCCATTTTGCCCCTAGACGCTAGATCGTCTGCGTGTGAATGGCAGGGTCATCCGGATTCAAGAAGTTGTACTTGTTGTACTTATTGACATGAGCGTGGGTAAAGCCGGCCTCATTCATCTGTTCAGTATTTCATCCTCGCCAACAATGGGAGTCAATTTAGGTTCCCGGCTCGATGTGTTCAATCATCGCTTCCAATAGGGCCGGTCACCTCGACCAGAAAACATTCCTGGGTTTCCCCGCAAACTCCTCTAAATATCCACACTTGCGGCCAGATTCGGCCCACATTTGCCTTTCGCTTCGAGAAGAGAGCCTCGTTCACTTCGTCAATTGGATTGGGTTCTCCAATTTTTCCTCTCAGCTTGTTCACCAGATATTCCACGCAAAGAATCCTAGTTGTTGAAGTCAACCGCGATGATTCATCTCCAATTCTTTCGCACAATAGTTGATCGAGGTCCACCGTTGAGTCCATCCATAATCGTAGGATTGTGAGAAACGGAATTTTGGTGCTCTCCATCCATGAGCCAACACTCAGGTCGATCGCTGTCAAGCACGACGTTTTCTCACATCCGCATTGGGGGTTCTGATTGAGCAATAGCTTCATAACGTGATGGTTGGCGCATGTGCGAGTAGTAAGCAAGATGCGGCGCTGTTGAAAGAACGAGATTGCATCGGCCTCGTTAGTCGGTAAGCGAAACCTGAATCCACCGCGCCCTTAGAAAATAGCGAAAAAATTATTTCATTTGGTTTTCCTTGTTCATTTTCCTGGAAGGATGCAAATTTTGCGGATGTATAACGGAAAAGAGCCCTTTTCGCGTTGCTAGTGAGCTAAAACTTACATATGATCGGTGTTAACCAAAAGATTTTGGATTTCCGAGGCCATTCGTTGCATTTTCTTTTGTTGTTCATACTGGGTGCTGCCCCATGTCCAATCCTTTTGATCCTCTACAGTTCCTTGATTCTCGGTCATCCAATTTCGAATCCTTTCCTCTTCTTCGGGCTTTTGGATCCAATTTGCCTAAAAGCTTGCTGTCTCGAGAAATTTTCAAATGCTTGGCTACCTTTAATACCTTCAACTAAACCTATTTGCAAAGCAACTTACCCGTGGACCCGTGTAGCATCCAACAGTGTCAACGACTTCACCTTTGTGCAACCATTTACGCTTCTTTCCACAATCGATAGTTTTTGTGTCTGACGGTGAATCCATCTGGCCGTTTATCTGAAACACACTTTTGAGGATAAACTGAAAAAGAAACTCCCACTCGAACAAACGCGAAATGGCCTGGATCAGCAGTGCACGTGAACTTTCGATAGACCCCATCCTGTTGACTGTAATTGAGAGATGAAGATAAAATGAGAATGGTTGTCTCTAGCGACCCAAAAGCCCTGAGGCAAGGGGCCGGATTATGGCTTGGAGCAAGCCTTAATCGGGTCCAAGCTCATTAAGGCTTTCACCGTGCCGGGCCCCGAAAATCTTCCACAAAACAATGCTTACTAAGACGTCACATCGCTCGAAAAGTTTTCCAGTAGCCATCAGCCGAATGAATGACAATTTTTTCACTCTGCCTCTTGCACTCGTCAATCCATTCTAAAAGAGAGCCAGTAGACGAGTTGGGTAACAAAACAAAAAAGTTGGGTAACAAAAAAAAGAACAAAGTAATCGATCGAAACAAACGGACCTTCATCTGCTGTCACAATTTGTGCCAATGAAGCCACAAGCAAGAAAACGAATTCTATCTTCATTTACAACTGAAAAGCAAATTTTTAAAAATGTGAACTGTAAAAAGAGAAAGTTTACTATAAGAACGAGAAGTTGTTCGAATAAGCATCAAAAAATTCGATGAGAGAATGAAGTTGTCAAGTTGAAATTTTGAATTTAAAGGCCTTTTTTGTGTTTAGACAATGATTCAATTCAAAAAAGAATTTTTGATAGAAGTAAACACCTTTTTCCCATTTAAAAATGGTTCAAAATAAGTTAATGGAAAAACAAGAATGGAAAACGTCAAAAAATTTATGGAGAAAATAAATTCCAAAATTTGGAATTTGGAATTTAAAGGTCTATGTGGTGTCTGGAAAATGATTCAATTCGAAAAGAATTTTTTTTAATAAAGAATTTTCTTTTCATATATAATAAATCGCTTAAAAGAAGTTAATGGAAGAAAGAGAAGACACATTTCAACGCTTTTACGATCAAATGCAGTATCTGAGCAGCCATATTTTTTGTTTGTATATATGAATACTTTATTCAGAAATAAAGTGCCGAAATGACATGAAAAATAGATGATGCCACTATGATTCCAGAATTCCAGATTCCAAAACCAGAAGCACTCCATTTGCCTCAATGTTTGGTAAAGACTACGATAATGAAGAGGAAATAAGGTAAGTTTTTAATTATTTACACAATAGTTTTCAAACTATTTTGCTTAGTGATGAAAACGAAAATTGGTCCGAAAATGACAACCGGAATTACCGTCCGAGAATTTTGTTTCGTTTATTGTTTATTTTAGTCTACCTTATTTCTTCGAATAGAAGACCGGTCTCGAATAAAAGAGAATAAAAGAGCGCTCGAATAGAAGACGAGATCTGGAGGGTGATCGAAAAAAGAGAAGGCTGGTTCCAATATAACACCGATCTTTTATTCAAGGTATCACTTCTTTTTTATTTTTCGCTAAAATTATTGTATCCGAAATAAGAAAAGTCAACCCGAAAGTGTTGTTTTTTTCTGATTTTTTCAGATTTTATTGCGTTACTAATTTTTCTTTCTTAGGTAATGCCGAATTCAAAAAACTGGTAATTGAATCGCTAGCGGCTAGCCGATGGTTTCAATCACTATCGGCTAGCCGATGGTGATTCAATCACTAGCGGCTGAAAATCACGAGCGGCTGCGACATATATATGAATACTTTATTCTGAAATAGGGTGCCGAAATGAAGATTCACAATAACTCATGAAAAATAGAAGATACCACCATGGAATCAGAAGCACTCCATTTGCCTCAATGTTTGGTAAAGACTACGATGATGAACGGGAAATAAGGTAAGTTTTTAATTATCGTATTTTCTCTAATAGTAGTGCACCCCAGCGAGCCGAGTTGTTTCTATTTTACGGCTTTCAAAGAAAAATTTTAGCGCTTTACGAGAAACTACAGTACAAACTGTATCTGAGCTGCCATATTTTTGCCTTAAAAATCAATACTTTATTCTAAAATAAGATCAAACACCTAAATTTTAAGCTAAGCTTTTGAATTAAGCAGTTACCTAAGTGGGCTAACACAAAGCTTTGCGTTTCTAACCTGATAAAGGTCCCTTCCAAATTAAAGTTTGACTGGAATTTCTTAAAAACGAATCCACGAATGCTTGGCGCATACTTTATAGTTACTTCAGTACATTAAACAAAGTGGTATTGGGTTGGAAAGAAAGTTCTAGAAAAAAGTTTGGACGGTGATTTCTCAAAAACTAAGCCATGAATTCTTCCCAGATTTTTTGATAAACTTGACTATATTTCAAAAAGCTTTTGAACAAAAAAATTATAGTTGGCTTCAGGGAAAAAAATAAGAGATTTCTTCAGCTGAAGTGACTCAATTTTAACAAAATAAATAGAGACTAAAATTTTGCATACTCGTAAAATTGGTATTGATATTTTATTGTTGATCAATGTAATGATCGTCTTGATCGATTTTATTGATATTGATCAATGTTATTGATATCGATATCAATGTAATGATTAGCGTATTATAAGTCTATTATGATATAAACTTGAAATTTTTGGTCTCTTTGAAAATCAAATCAATCGTTGAATCGAGTGGCTTGTTTCTTTTATATATTTTCTGAAGTTTTCTTCTTTGATTTCGATCTTTCTGAGTTGTATTTTATTACCATTTGCACATTTTAGTAAGATGAAACCTATGTTTCCAAATAACCAGCAAAATCACAAAACGAGCAATGAAAATCTTTGTGCTTCTT